TAAAATATCTTTATAATAGATATTTACTTCTTTGTTTGAATTTTATCTCTTCTTTATTATTAATTTCGATTTAATATTATTTAATTTTTTGATCATTTTTATATCTTAAAATTATTTAGCTTTTGAAATATATATATTTATTTTAAATAAAACAGAAAAATTGTAATAAAATAGTTTATCAAAATTTATTATAATTTAAAAATCTTTAATTTAATATATTTTTATATCTTTTAAAAAATTTAGAATACAAATCTCAAACTTATATCTTCTAAATGAAAAACATTATTATTATTGTTATTACTACTTAAATATTTATATAAATAAAAGAAGTTTTTTTGATATAGTATTTATTATATTATAATTTAAATAATTATTTAAATTCTTATTTTTAATATAAAAAAAATTATTTATCATAATTGTTATATAGTTTTTTTAAATTCTTCAAATCTTCAAATATTATTGATTTTTACAAAATCAATTATTCTTAATAAAATAGAATATTTCTATAATAAATATTTAATTTTATCTCGAATTTTATCTTTTTCTTATTATTTTGATATGAATTAGTTTTTTTTACTAGTTTTTCTTTTGTAAAATTTTTCATATTATCATTAATTTTTTGATTATTTTTATATTTTAAAATTATTTAATTTTTGAAATATATATATTTATTTTAAATAAAATAAAAGTATTATAATAGAATAATTTATCAAAATTTATTATAAATTAAAAATACTTTTTAAAATAATTTTAATTTAAAAATCCTGAGATTAATATATTTTTGTATTCTTTGAAAGATCTAGAATATGAATCTTAAATTTATATTCATCAAATAAAAAAATACTATTATTACTATTATTACTATTATATTTAAATAATAAACAATTAATTGTTATTTCTTATTCAAACTTAATTGATTTAATATTATATTTATTATACCAGGGGCCTGCATCCCCTGAACCCCTGGCCTTTTGAGAAAGTCTAATATAAATACAATATTTTTATTTTTTATTTTTTTTTTTTTTTTTTTAAATCTAAATATTAAATGTATATTAGAGTGCAGACGGAATATCAGCTCGTTTTGAATATTAGAGATTAATTATAATAAAATATATAAAATTAAATAAGTTATTAAATAAAATACTAGATAAATTATTATTATTATTATTATTATTATTATTATTATTATATAAATAATTTGAATATCTTTAAAATTAAATATATTTTATTTATATACTCTTCAAAGTCTATTATAAAAATTTAATACTTCAAATATTAAAATTATTAGATTTTGTTAAAGTGAATAGTTCCTGCGTAGCACGTGCACAGGGCACTAGTCCTATTAGGACTAGATTGAGAAGCTCTCTGTAGGAGAGCTTCGCACTTCCGTAGAACTTAAATAATGAGTGATTCATATACAAGACCAATATAGCCTCAGTTCTGCCCTATCAGCTTCCCACTATTCCCTGTGTAAGGTCATTCCTTTTAACAGATTTTAGATTTTACTTTTGAGTAGATATTTTACTTTCTCTCTTTTTTTTATTTTTTATTTTAAACTTTTTATTGATTATAATTTTAGTTTTATAATTTTTTTTTAATTTTTAATTTTATCTATTCTTCTTTGAATTTAAAAGTTTTGATTTTTGATTTCAAAATTAGTATTGATTATATTTTAAAAATTTAAAATATCAATATATAATAAAAGTAATTTAAGAGATACAAAAATAAGATTTTTTATTAATTGTATTTTTATTTTATATAACGTAACTTATGGTGAACCGGGTCATATGGGGAACCGGGTCACATTTAGCCCATCACTGACTTCAAACCCCAACAAATTTTGCTATACATACCGAATCACCTCTTACGCCTTCTCAAATTGAAGAGAAGATACAGAATGCTATTATTGCACTTCAATTGAAGGACTTTAAATCAATTAGAAAGATTGTAGAGTATTTTGAAGTTCCTAAATCAACTTTTATAGCTAGGGTCGCTGGAAGGAAATCATATACTCAATCTTATGAAATAGCTCAAATTCTTTCAAACACAAAAGAAAATACTCTTGTATAATGGATTTCACAACTTATTATTACTGGATTCCTTATTATACCTATATTGATGAAGGAAATGACCGACGAAATTCATCTTCGACATATTCAGATCGCGTCATCTCGAATTCCTACCTCGACAGAAATTCCATTTATAGGCTACGAATGGATCTATAGATTCCAAAAACGACATCCAGAACTTAAAACATGCTATTCACATCAATTAGAGTCTAATCAGGCTAAAGTGGCAACTCCGGAGAATATTCAGGCTTGGTTTGATGCGTTTCGTACATGTCTCATTAAACGAAAGTATGAATTAGATGATATATATAATATAAACAAAATCAGATTTGGAGTTAGAAGTACTCAAAGTATGCGTATTATAGTCGATTCTACTCAGAAATCGAATTGGAAAGTTACAGCTAGCAAACAAGAATGAATAATTGTATTTGAATATATCAATACAATTAGAAAGACTCTATTACCTATAATCATTTTCAAGGCTCAGAATACAAATTCTGTATGGATTCCAAAGGATATGCCTCAAAGCTGGCAGTTTTCTACGAGTACGAATGGATGGACCTCAAATAGTTATGGATTAGAATAGCTAAAAAGGATTTTCGAACCAGAATCCAAGAAAGTGTCAGGTGACCGACCTCGACTTTTGATTATGGATGGCTATTCAAATCATATTACAGATAGCTTTATTACTTTCTATATAGAGAAGGAAATCGATTTATTTATATTATCTTCTTATTGCTTTCATTTACTTCAATTATTTGATATTGCAATGTATAAGCCAATGAAACAATATTATGCTTTAGAGATCGATCGATATTCTCGAGTTGATATAAAGCGAATTCAAAGAGCTGAATAGATAGAACTCTTTCAAAATATTAGAAAAAAAACACTGAATTCTTCTAATATTAAAATTGATTAAAGAGAAACTGGTTTAGTACCTTTTACCTTACGAAAAGTACTCGATATATTACTGTTGACCTCCTGGGATCTTGGCAGCATATGCATATATAGTACATATGCATATAAGGAGCAAACAAAACTCAACTTTTAATTCATTCTTTCCTTTTTGGTATACTGTTTGTTTGCTTTCAATATTTTGATTTCAAAGCACTTTAATTCCGAAGGCTGAATACCCAACCTATTCCTTCATTTTTTTGAATATATGCTCGCAGCTTAACTGCTTAGCTAGAGAATCAATCAATTCAATCTGATACTCTTTCTAGTCTCAAGAAACCCAACAATTACCATTTAACTCCTCCCAATAACCTTCTACTTTACAAATGAAAATGTCCAATCAAGATCTAGACTTATCTATACTCAAGAGCTCTCCTCTAAATAGGATAAAGCTAAGGCAAGCAAATCAAACCTTTAATAAAGCTTTAGCAGATAATGATTCTCTTATATCATCAACTCGTCGATATACCAAAAGAATGACTAGGCTTGTAGAATCTTAAAATGCTAAGATAGCCCTACTTCGGAAACAGTTCGCTGATGCTCAGGAAGTAATTGAGACTCGAAAGAAGAAAATTAAAGGCAAAAGAGTCAAATTACAAGATCAATTTATCTTTAGTAATGAGGAAGTACTGAAAATGATACATAAGGCAAAGGAAAAACCAAAGGAGAAAAAGCTACGAAGGCGACCACGTAAACATCCAATTGAAGAATTAGAAGAGGAGACTGAAGAAGAAGAGCCAGAGAGTAATTCAAGTGATTTAGAGTTGGAATTGGATGAATGTGTAGCTCGTAGAACAAGATCACATAGAGAGAATTGAATTTTGTGACCCGGTTCCCCATATGACCCGGTTCACCATAAGTTACGTTATAAGAATATATTTTATACATTTATTAAAATCATTAATTATTTAACATGTCTAATGGCAATAATAACATTATTCTACATCTCTATCAGTTTCTCCATGAGAAAGATCAGGCAGAGTTTTAAATAACCATCAAGCTAAAAGTTGGTGAATCAGGTGTAACCTCGATAACAACTGGACCAGCGATGATGTTAGCATCAGTCAAGTTACCCGATTTATCTCTGGTCAAGAAGGCGTAACTTTGTCCCGAGATGCTCAGTGGAACAACATTCATGATCAGACCATCACTGCCGACCTGACTTTCAACAGCGATAGCATCGAGTCCGCTAACGAAGGTAGTGTAGAAGGTTCCCGATGGAATGGTCTCTGGTACCAGCACAATACTGGCACCTGGCGCAGTAGGCAAGCCGGACTTGAGAGCAAGAGAGGAGTAGGCCATTACAGGCAACACGGCATTGGTGGATGGGCAAGAAACAATAAAAGATGACGCGATGGAGTAGACGGCGTTAAGTCCGAGAGGTGTCGACAAGGGATTGGCCATTGGGATCTCCCCATTCGCGCTACGTTCAGTGGATTGATGAAGAGCTTCAGTGGCAAGGATAGAAGCAGCTGCGGTGAGATAGGCCTTTGTTGTAATATCGGCTGCTGCTCCGAGGTATGCGGAGACACCAACACCTTCGATGACCGAAGCGAGAGCGACAAATGACTTTGGATCCGTGAATGGGAACTTGTATTCACAAGCTTCAACAGGTGCTGCACCTGCAGCGGTAAGACCAGTCTGAAGATAGACAACATGGGCCTCCTCGTCATGCACTATGTATTTTAACTGGTTATAGAAGGAAGACGAAAAGTTCGCGTCGAGCCACATCTGTTCTGGCATTTCAGAGAGAGCTTTTTTATAGAAAGCATTCTCTAGATGCTCCAGAGTCAAGGCATATTGAAGAATATCTGCATCGGCTGGCCCTGCCTGCCTTTTGGTTGGCAGACTTGAAGCAAGATCCAAGATACTAGCGATAGCAATGAACGTGATGATAGAGAAAAGCATGATGCTTTTGATTGGTGTGAAAAAATATTGTGGTTGGACAATTGTTGGATGTGGTATGACTGGACAGTTGAAGAGAAGTATAAAGTTGCTTGTTGGATAAAGAATGATATGAATGGGAAGTTAAGCAAAATATATATAGGGTTGGTAAGTTCCATGATGATAGGAGACTACTGTCCGGACCTTGATCTTTCCGAACGATTCATTTCTTCCTAATTATATGTCTCAAGGGAGACCTACCAAGTAAATAAAGTTGACCGGCAATACACTAGGCCGCGAGACTAGCTTATGATTCTCGAGGTTAAAAGTTATTTAACATACGAGAGACTGTTGAAAAGATAGGATTGGCTCTCAATCTCTCAATGATCAGGTGACATGCCTCTGTATATTCTGTTCATAAGCTAATGTTTATTTAGCCCAAGAGCCGCGGCCTTCTGGAGAAATGGTAGAAAGAGGATTGCAGACGTTTACCAGATATCGACAGCTCGAACAATTATTTGAACCATACTGTCTGGATTGGTCAATAGCGTTTTCCTAGAACAATTTGGGAGTACAGGTTATTCCCGCTCTTGAAGTTCTCAGCCAAACACGCTCTAGATCAAACAATATGCGTGGAGTGATATCGATCACATCGCACATTTAGAACCGGCTCAAGTAGTTCCCGAAGCTTGTAAGAGAGAGAAAGTTCGAATGATGGCTTAAAGTCAACTAAATACATACTAGGGGCGATAAATAAGTAGGCACTACCATAAGTGCAGTGACGATGCTGACAAATGTTGGTAGTGGCACCCAAGAAGTTGGAAACTTTGTCGATGTCGGAAGAAGTTCCATCCGATCTATTGAATTTAGCCTCACTAAGTCTAAGATCTCTAATTTGGGCCACTCCGCTTTTGGGCAAATTTTCCCACCAAAAATAACAAAAATAATAAAAATCGATATTTATGATTTTCTTAGTTATAAATACAATTTTTGAGATTTTTGAAAGTAGATTTATTACTTATATAATAATAAATTTTGAATATTTCAAATTTTTTATAGTTTTATTAATTGAGATATTGAAAATTAAATTGACAATTTTTAATTTCTATGAAATTCAATCATCAATCAATAAAATAAGAAAATGTCTGGAATCTCTAAAACTAATTTATAATTCAAATAGTATTAAATTATATTAATTTATTGTAAAGTTATTAATAAATCAAAATGATGATTTTTGATATAATGTTACGATAGTAACAACTGACTCATTAGGAGAGCTTGGGCCTTGTGCAAAAGCGATCAGATTTCATCGAATTAATATGTGATCTGGGCCACCTTAAGATCGTATGTGCATGCACCGTCAGAAAGCACGTGACTTGGAGCTTTTGGAGCTTGAGGATCCAAAAGGATCCAATGGAGCCTTTGGAGCTTAGGATCCAAAAGGATCCAAGGGAGCATGAATATCTATATAACCAAGATGGATTCCCTTTGTATAGAGCTTCGTGCTCAAGATCAATCATTTAGTATACTCTACTATTAGTTACGAATTGCATATCATTATTGTCATTACTTTAAGTCCCTGCTTGACGCCTAGTTATAAACCACCTCGAGAGCCTAGAGCACTTCCACGTGATCTAGACGGCAAACTTCGTAACATATAAAAGAGTGGCACAAATTAAGGATAACCTAAAGGTGGAGTACTAGACTTATATTAAGGTAAGAACTAATAAGATCTTATTACAGTAGCAGAAATGCTATCACTAACGCCGGCGTCGGTATTTACCGATCCACAAGATACAAGATATGCTCCGTAAGTACAGTATCAAGCCTTGAATACTCAGAGAAGGGAAAGGGAATTAACTCTATAACTGCAAGTCTAACCAATCACAATGCATAATGCAACTGCGCTGTAATAACCTCAAGATAGATAATTCTTTCATGTGGAGTTCTTGACCTCTTTCCATTCATATGCCAAGTTCCGAAAAAGTAAATGGGGAAAACGTTAGATACAAAGTGTTTGATTGTGAGATTCTCATTCAACAATTTCTGCTTCTGCTGCGTCTCTTTGATCTTAACTATGGTCTTCGCAGCACTATCAAACTTCTTATTACAATCCTTGCTCTTCTCTTTTGTATTCAAAACTTCGCCCAGAGTCAAATGGGTTCTTCTCTTTCATTCTAATCTCATTCCCCGGCTCTGCTTTAAGAAGCATCCCTTCTCCCACGGTTCGAAAATCATCTATCTTTCCTCGAGCGAGTCCACCAGGTGGTCGTTGGTGTGCCATCAATCTATTTATTGAGCCGTGTGGAAATTGATTCCAAATCTTTACACTGCCCGTTTTCGCTTCGATTCTACTCATAAGCTCTCTGCAACTAACTGATCTTTGCATTGTGTGAATGCTGGCGTAGGTACAACTGGGCGAAGTGTCAGGGGTTATCGAGGGGTTCTTATGCGTATGCATTTTCACACCAATTCCCGGCCATCTTTTTACAAATTTAAGCTTTAGGAAATGTTGCTTCTCTGTACCGCGGGAATACTTGATGCTGTTTGCTTAACCTGACTAGTCGCCGTCAATTCGTTTGGCGGGAAGAAATGTTAGCATAAGATGGAATGTGCAGCCTCTGATACCTGGGCCCTTGGCGTGACTTGGGATCCCGGTGCGGATGCTCCATGAATATCAATTGAATGTTTCTGCTGGACAATAATTAGACGCGGTGGGGCCGTCAATACATATTCATTCGCGGAGTTTTTCTGGACCCTTGGTTGCCAAGTGGTCGAACATTTTATTGATCTCCGCAACTGCTGGGAATATTGTATGACTGGCTCGAAGTCGATGCCTCACGCACAAGGTCGCCGTTTCGTGTGCGAGATCTCCTTGACTGGTGCCTTAGATAGAGTGATGTACCAGCGAAGATATCAACTTCAGAGTCGAGCGAGAGCCGGCACTTAAAGGAGATTTCCACTCCACTTCCATGCAACGGCAGAGTTGAAGACCGTAGAATACATGCGGTTGTCGTAACTGTCGGGCGAAAGGACCCACCGTTAGGACTGCCTTCAGAAATATTACATGTGGCATTTGCAGTGTATGTTGTGGCGAGACTTCGCGCTCATGGTTCTTCGTTTCTGTCATTCTTGGAGTTATCCATGTGAAGTCAACGATCACTTAACACATTTCCCCAGCTCCTCGTGTTCTTTTTACATTAACAGGGCGAGCTGGAAACCGAGATTATTATTTTTTCTAAACCACTGATTTGCAATGATGCACCGAGCGACATCGCCATTAAATTTTGCAAGTGGGTTTTCGCCTTAAAACTACGAAGGTAAAGCTGTAAGACAGGCTTGAAACTTAAGGTAAATTTAATATTTCATCTATTTGTAGAGAGTAGGATCGGACGGTAATCGGAGCAGCAGACAAGTATAGAAACGGCCGGTGAAGAATGAACGAATGTTCAGAACCAATTTATTGAAATCGACAGACTTGAAACATAACATTTGTGTTGCGAATGAACATTTTACAATCCTCGGTAGTCAGGAAAGAACACAGTGACCTGATTTGAGTCCCAGTGAGTATTGAGTGCCTAGGAAATGTCTGCTTTGTGCTTATACAATGATGGAAATGGTTATGCACAGGTGCCGAATGATATCTCGAGGTCGTGGCTATATTGTAGCAAACGTCGCAATCATCAAAATGTGATGGCTAACAATCACTCATACGAACATGATATCGACGGGGTACTACGGAATTATATCCCAAAGTAAACTCCCTATCCTTGGATAGGCCATTTATGACTTTCCCCGGATTTCGAAATTCACCCGGGAATTGTGGATCAGTCTCAGACATCTGAAGAAGTGAGATTTGATCGAATGACAGTTATAACACCACGTAGTAAATTTACGTCTACATGCTTCACTGAAAGGAAATCGTCTCATCAAACTGACCCGGCATAGCGAATCATTGCGCTATGTCAACCGGGCAAATGTAATTCCAGCTGCATCTATGTAAGGCCACATACTTCAAGTTGTATTCAAGAACGACGGGAATGGGATACACTAGATAGTTGACAATGTTCTAGACGACGAAACACTGTTATACCATGCATACCCTGCTGTTGCTCATAGGGCACTGCAACGACGTAATTGACATCAGAACAAGATTTATTCCATGCTCCATCATGATGAAGCGCCGAACCAATCAGACTTGAAGCCCAGTCACCTTTACGTCTGAATAGAAATGTGAAAGGGATACCAGCCGTTACATTTTAATGTTAACTCGACGGTTCCTTGAGCCTCCAAAGTGAGGCCTCCTTACCCTTGTTAATCGAGATCCTCTACTAATCCCACCGAGTCTTCCATAGGTAAACACAGTGAAAGTAAATGTCTTTGATTTTAGTTTCGGAATAATCGCACCAGATAAAGTACCGCCTACATGTCTTCCCTAAGATTTCAACTCCTTTTACCTGCCGCACCTTATTTTTTAGCCGGCAGTAGCATCCCCTAGATAGTAGCATTAAGAAAGATATTATGTCCATGCCATGCTACCAAACTATTGTAAAGTGTCCCATGATCCTTGTTTTTCTCGCTTGAAGAAGACACCCTGGTCATAAAGATTGGCATTTTGAAAACCTCATAGATTGTCCAAATTGGATTACATCCACGAATGCTTTGAAACCCTGCCCCAACTGCGGTGTGTGTACACACGATGTATATATTCAATCATGTAAGTTAGTATATACGAAGCCTGGTAAGTAACAGATTTATTGTGCTATAGTTGAGCTCTTGTATGAAATCATGACAGACTGAGGTCTCGCGACCAGGTGTGTCGGGGTGACTCGTAATCGGTGGTTCGTAAGTAGGGTTTAGTGTTCTCCGGTCACACGAATTGTGGCCGTCGGGTTCTTTTTTTACATGAGCAACGTAAAGCGATCATAGAAAGCCTGATTCGGCCAATACCCTGTTGTCCGTGTAAGCATGAGCCTATCTTATGTTTTATGTTGTGATAGAGGTCCGCATCAGAAGCCCGTAACGTACCTGACTATCTTTTCGTCCTCACGCTCCCGTGGCTCGACTGCTAAACTCTTCTCATACATCTCATGTACATCACCCGCAGCTTGCATATTGCTCAATATATACTCCTGGAGTTCCGGAACTGGTTGCAAGCCATACGGAACATTTTGATATTGCTGAATGTCGCGAATGACTTCAGCTGTCTTCGCTCGTTTGGCAAAGTTGATCAATGTAGTCTTCTTGATGATAGAGGGTATGCCATCCTCGATGAATGTAAGATCAGTAAGATACACACCTGTAGATATTAGCTTGTCACGTTACATCATGCAATTGGAACCTACCAAAGAAGGGTATGCATGGAGGATTGGCAAGATGCAAACTCTCACGATATTCTCCGAAATTTTTTGTGCTACCCATAAGGCGACGCATAGATTCCAATGTTGCCAAGGTTTTTGCAGGTACTTGATCCCAGGTTCTCTTTAATCGATGGATTGGTGCCGTACCAAGGGCAGAAATGATGGAAGTGAGAGTTGAATAGTTATTCAAAGCACGGCATTTCTAGAACGGGTTAGGAAGTGTGAAGACAAGTCATAAGAAGTACGACTTACATCAGCAACAAGAACAAAATGTTTGATGACCACAACTCGCTTTTTGACATCGAGTTGCGTCAAAATCATCTCGGCAACCCAGTTTGTTAGCTGGTTAGAATGTAAGATCAAAGCCTTAACGTTGGGTGCAGGCTCAGGGTCGTTCTCGCCAACTTTCTTCTGCCAAGTTTTATTCAAGCATTCTGTGGGTTTGATCTTCCCATAGAGCCTTGACTCGACAATGGTAAGTTGACGTGCAAATTCCGTCACATCAATATCTAAAAATTTAAGCTTCTTCATATTTTTGGGCATGATTGGCTGGGGCGTGGAATGGTTCAAAGTCAATACCAAGCGTTTGGCTGTCGCTTCCTGTCCCCGCAACCGTTGTTCTAACAGAGTCATCAACGAACCAGACCCTGGTGTTTCCGTAGCTTTCACAGTATCACGGGCAAATGTGTAGACGTTGGCTATTAGGGCTTTGGTATCGTCACTTTGGTCCTCCATCCAAAAAAGTTCAAACCACGACTTCAAAATGTTGACAACCCGAAACCTGATTGGCTTTTGTTTTCGGGACACCCAAGTTTCATAATCCCCTGGGGGCATGCCTTCAGGAGGTTGTACTTGAAAGCGCTTCACCAAATGCTCAAATAACTCCCTGGCATTTGTGAAAGACCGATACGTTAGTAAGAAGGTGTTGTTGAAGTCCGAGCTCAGCTTATCATGACGTGTCAATTGCTCAACCAATGCTACAAGCGTACCACCCTTCAAGATAGGAGGCTGCACTTTAGTGTCATAAGAAATATCATCTTCGTGGTCGAGCTTGAGGCAGTCTGGTGTCTCATCTGGGGCATCTCTTCGGGTAGGTTCTTCACCAAAGAATTTCCTGAGTTTAGAGTTCTCCTTTCGGAACGGAAGAACTGGATCACCCTCAGAGTAAGTTTGAGACTTCCCAATTTCTGCTAGGTTGGGACGGAGTAATGGATTCCGTGAATCTGATCGTTGATGCAGCCGCTCGTAGGGCGCGCTATCACCCCTCCTTAGACTTTTTGCTCTTTCTTCGATAGGTAAAACCTGCTGCATAGCTGTCTGAACAAGCTCACCTAGAAGCTGCAGCGAGAAGCCAATATGAGATGAGTTCGTTTCCAAGGATCTCGAGCACGCGCGCACATAATTCAACCGCCCCTCTAGTGACTCCCCGCGGACTTCCGCCCACTCATCCCCCAATGGGCCAGCTACGGCCTGACATCCAAGCAATAAGTCGGATACATTATCATACAAACTTTGCTTCTGTTTGGCGAAGTCAATAAGTTGGGGGTTTTGAAATGTGTCGCCGAGAGAAGACAAGTTGATGGATTCAACCGTGGAAACCCATGGCTTGAACATCTCGAGAACTTTTTGAGCGGCCAAACAGACGTTATTACCAATTACTTCGTGTCTGTAAGGAGTAATGATTTTGTCGGTGAGTACGAGATGCTCCTCCAATCTTCGAATGCTAGATGTTAACATTCTCTTCAAATCGTCAAGCCTCTCCATCAAGTTCGCATCCAAGATTGCAGAAGGTTCAACTACATTCTCATCCTCATCGAGAAAGTTAGACGCTAGCGGGTCTCTAGATCCAAGTCCATTGTTTTGCCAACTACCACCAATAGTGCTACCAACGACAAAGCCAGGTAGCAATCGCGGTATATCCTCGCCTCGCTGCTGGCGGGCGACCTCGACGTAGCTGAAGACGCCTAGAAGTACGCCATCCGCTTCCTGCAGGCATTTTTGATATGACTCTGAATTGGGCCAATCAGAAGCAGCGATGTGAGAGGAAATTACCAACTTCGAGAACTTGGACATCATGTCCCGAAAATGGGGGTATAGAGCTTTGTTGGTAGAAATAATAGACGGCTGGCCAGAATGGTTATCAGTGGTGCCAGAACCGGCAGCTAGTAATAATCGCAGATGATCGGAGATATCTTCGGCTCGGCGAACATACTCGGAGCGATCATGATTATTGATGGCCTCGCGATAGCAATCCACAGCTTTTTTCATATTTGCAACGAGTCTATTCCATGTCAGTGGTGCAGCGGAGCCATCATCAAAGAATGATCGAGGCAAAGTAGCAGCGTGTGGTGGGCTAAGGGCGGGAGTTGTGAAAGAGGTTGTAGACGGGCCCATTATTGGCATTGCGGTCAAGGATACATTTGGTGTATTGAACGTATCGGCTCGTGAGCGAGTACCAGGAGATGTGCCATTGATCGAGTCCATGGATGTAGCTGGAGAAACCCCTTCAGATAATTGAGATCTGCGCTTCTTCCGGGGCTGAAAGGTGTTAGCATACACAAAAGTAACCATCTAGAGCAGGCAACATACAAAGGAGGGTTTGGATGCGAGCATGATAGACTCTCCGTCTAGCTCGGAGGCAGAATTTCCTTCTGATTCATCGTCAGTTTCATTTATATATCCTCGCGCCATCAATTCTGCCGGCGGCCTCGTTTTCTCCGGTATATTGATATTCATCCGATCTCTAGGGCCAATCTCTGCTGATGAAGACGGCGATTCTAATGGTAGCTCTATGCTACTTTCGCCAGTCTCCGTGTTAAAGTAGAATAATCTGCCATCGGCGGTCGCTTGAGGGACCCAGAAATCCGCCCCTGATCTTCCATTGCTGTTCCCTCCGGCTGTAGGCAAATGCGAGAAGTCATCACGTTCTGATTCTTCCTCATCATCATCGTATTTCTCATCGTATTCTTCATCGTCGTCTTCATCGTCGTCGATATCACCATCTATGCCTATTCCAACCCCATTCGGCTTGCCTTCCAGGACATCTTCAGGGCCCGATACGACCTGGCAATAATTACTTGGGAACCATCCTCTCACATTATTTATGACTCCATCCCACCAGCCACTTTCTAGCTGTGTAATTACTTGTATTATATCCCCCTCATGAAAGCTGAGACTCGTTCGGTCGTCGGCCTCGTAGTCGTATAACGCTCGCACGTACATAATGGTTTGCGGAGCGTTTCCTAATAACCCATTCATTAGTGGCGGTAATGTTCCAGCACTTTGAGGTTTCCGTATCTCCTTGGGAGGTAATCTTGAAAGTCGAAGTATATCTGGCGTTAGAGTGAGGTGAATTCTCCTTGTGTAAAAGAGTCGAGAGTATTATTACTCGACTGGGAAGTTGCAAAGGTATTTCCTTCTGAATATGTTACCGAGACCACGGTCTGTGTCATTCATTAACATCTTCAACTCATGTTTATTCGTCCCAAGTAGGTGTACGCGCTTTTGAAAGTATAAAACATATATTGCATATGGATCTCGCAGAGGAGGGGTAGAGCGAGGTAGTTTGTCGGGTGTTGTCGATCAATTTCGATAATGATTGGAGAGACTTCGGGCGGTAATGGTCAGTGGAACATCGATTAGCTGAACGATAGTAGTTCGATGGGCCGCTTCCTTCATATACGCACATATGTATACATGCATATATGTCAATAAATGGTAAGTGATATTTGATATCTGATATATGGTATTATGGTGTATCCAAGTAAAGTCGAAGAAAATATAATAAAGGTGGGTAAGGTTTATTGGAGAGGTTTGCCTCGTTATCGCCAAAATCGCAAATCGCAGTACCGGTAGTGGTTTGGCATTGAAGGGAATCGTTTCAATGAGGATGTTAAACTCGGAAAGGTGTAGGTGGTTGGTATAGATAGTAAGTAGTAAAGTATACAAGGGTCCTATTTGGGAAGAGAAAGATTTTGATCATCTGAACCAATGAATATGTTATTGATTGTTCCTGCAAGTACAATTGATAATCCTAGGTATGTATATCTTCCCTTTTGCATTCCTGTCGATGTCTCGAAGGATATCCAATAAAGATGTCGACAGTAGAATTTATAAAAAAAAAATACAAACAAATAATATAATCCAAGGAAACTTTGGAGAAACAAACTAGAATGGTTATATATTTGAAGAGTACGAAAAACAAAGGTATAGGTAGGTAGGTATCTATCTAGTATAGTAGATAGATTATTTGATAATGGATAGAAGGGGGGAGAGGAAGTGGGATGTCTATTGGCTGAAATGATTTTTGAATGGGTCAATGAGTTTGGACAATTTGAGCAAAGATTATTAGAATGAGAAATACTCCAGTGTAGAGATAGAATAACTAACGATTCAAAAATATTAAACCAAGAATTAAGATGTATTTCAAACAACAGGTGGTAAAGATCTGTATGGATCAGTAAAATATGTAACCACAAAATGATTTCAATATATGAAGGATGATTATATGGACCGGGGAAGGAAAGAAAAAGAAATGCACTAGTGAAAGTGGTACTAAATATTTGAAAGAATCTTAAGAGAGTCATATAGTAGGGGGTGTAGTAAGTAATAAACCGGCCGAGTGCAGTGGTGCTTCAGTCAAATCAGATATGGCCAGCTGTGATTGAGGTTGTTGTTGTCTTGAAAGAGGTGCAGGTGAGTGAGTGTTGAGTAGGGAAGAAAAGGAGAGGAATATCAAACCGTTTTGGTAACGCTCCCAGCAAGATCAAGCATCACGGGTATTGTAGATGTTCTGTCAAAGCACAATAGCACCGGCCGCCTAGGTAGTGGCGCACTGTTGGGGGACAGGTAATTAGGAACAAGAGTGAATAAAGGGACCCATCTTATTAAGCCTCTTCCAGCTACATTATAATTGATCACCCTGGGGAAATTGATTTTGATTTCAAAGTACCTACCTAGGTAGACAGACACCAGCCTTGATGAGTACAATACCGCAACCGCACCTCCCACTTTGACGTAGAAGTGGACTTGATCAGATACCTACTCCAAGGTTCCTCTTCTTATAGATTGAACACGGCCTGAAATGGATTCATCCTTTGATATAAAAGCATGCGAATACAGGCAATTCTCCTCAAGTAGATCTCTTGGAGAGACTGTTATGGAGCTTATCCTGAGATTGGAAGCCGGATCTAGAATCTCCAAAAATCATTTCAGTCTCCACTCGCAGTCCTTTCCCAAGCTTCGAGATAAATTACGATTCTCGACTTTTGATCCCACCCCACATGCTGCGGTCTCCCCAGTGTCGGTGCATGCCATGTGAGAGAAGGACATTCACCACGAGGTAACTCTCCACGGCATGCATCAATTACGGTCACTCTACCTTATCGGCAATTCCTTCAATGATTACTACTACACTCTATCTATGGAACAAAGTCCGTTCAGAGCAATTGTCATCGATTTAATTCTAGTGCGTGGTGGGATCCATGACATAGTGCAGCAAACACCCGGTAAACACGGGCAACCAAGTTCAACCATTCGCTCATTCAACCCCGAATTCACTTTCCCCCCCTTGCAATCGGTGTAACATCCCAACACGTGAATTTACTTCCCCAAAGGTTCTCGATAGAGAGAATTGGCAAGAGATGAGCGAAGGCACATCAGATGAACGGAAGTGGGATCTGGCGGATTTACATATGGATGGGAAGGAGGATAACATGGCACTCACTTAACTGTTTCTTCGCGTTCTCTATATATTGCGCCTCTTGTGTAGATGAAGAATTTCGGACCGACCAAAGATTCGTGTTGGAGTTTATATAAGATTCAGCAGCTTGCCGCTGCTCATTCCATCGGTCTCGATGTATTGATTCCATTAACGGGGACGGGAGCTATGACGAGACCATTATCAGCAGTACCTCTGTACTTCCAGGACTCGGGCGTGCAGTGAAGTGGTCGCCCTTGCGTTGGTGCAATCACAATGGTCGGGTGCATGCATTTCCTCAAAACTCCTATTACCTTTTGGATATGTTTTTGTTACATTAATCTCCCTCCATCTACGAAAGTAAGCATTGCAGCCCTTTCTTTCCCTTCACATAATCGGGTTAATGATTTATTGGCTTGTTTTGAAGATGTAGTCACGCCAAAAGAAGGCAACGACGCAATCCGTGTACAACTGTAACGTGGAACTGTTGCAGACATCAAGGTTTCAGCTTTCCCAGCTAGGTAAGGGACCAACCTTTTTGCTTCTGGAATGTTTCTAGAAGGAGCTCAGAATAAACGAAGGAAGATACGAATATAAGAGACTGGGACCTTCTGTTCTTGGAGTGGGGTGGAGGTACGAAGGAGCCTGTAACTTTCAACCTGGCTAGGGTGATGGAGGGGTTTCGATAAGATGAGATGGTAAAGGCATGAATGCGCACGAGAGTCCATCTACCAGGTGCGTAGGTGATCCATCTGGGTTCCGAGCTGTGGAGATTGACGAAATCGCATTTCGTGCTAGAAAGATTCGTTGCCGTGCATGTTTGGTGTCCAGACCCTGAAAGAGATCGTGAGGTTTGAAGTGCAGGAGTAATTATTTTAACAAAGTTTGCTGCGCTAAGATCGTGTCGCAAACGTAACTATGCGACCTATTTTTTTCTACGAGGCAAGAATGTCGAATATTCTTGAAAGTCAACGTAGCGTCTGTATGCTGTTAACTATTAAAAACTTTTCCTGCTGAGCCTGTCTAAGCCCATTTTCGGACATCGGACACCTGGGTTGACCGCAAACCCTCAATCCAGTTTGGAACATTGAAAACATACGCTTTTCGATGTGAATAACGAACGCTTGAAGAACCAAGCCGGCCACGTTTGATTGGGCAATTGGCATGTAGGCAGGGGATGAGTTGTATGTAGTATTTGAAGAGGGGTTCCTTGATCATGCGACTGTTGTCCAGGTAACAATCTCAGCGGTGAAGTTTTTCCTCAACTATCTGTCGGTGGAGTTTGCATATGTAAGATCGTGTTGTAATGCTGCTTATGCACATCTTTTTGTGAACTGTACAATTTGGTCGTCTTGCCGGTTCCGTTTTTGCGATAATGTACCTGGCGGTGTCGTGGGTGTGTAGGTTCCCATGTCGAAATCGAGGTTCTGGATTTTCTATCACTAATCGGTGAAGAGGGTGCCACGTGAATTTGCCTGCTAGACCTTAAGGTGAGTCTTGATTCACAGTATTGTCGCTGAAAATGTTTGGATTGCTCCTTATTATGATGATCTTATTCATTCTAGATGCTACCGGATAGCCTCCCCCGAACGGGCGGACTGAAAACACGAGGACCCAGAAATTCGTCTCCTGGATCTTTAGTACCCGTTTCTGCCGTGGAAGCTGTCTCATTTCATTAAACTTGATTGGATATTAGTGCTTTGGAAAAGTCAAGGCGGACGAGGACGAACATGGCAGATTGATACAATCCTTGAATATTCCACTTATGAAGTATGAAAAAGACATCAGAAATTCAGAATCGATTATTTTTTTATTGCATTACTTCCGGAGGAGCCCATTGTCTCGGAGGGCACTGACCGGTGAAGGATGATACCGGCATTAGAACCCAATTAAGTTAAGCAGGCCTATGAACTTGATTGGGCAGAATGCTGGTATAGTCTGATAGAAGTCGTAGAAGGTTATCAGGGCGGCTTCTATGCTTTCGATGAGGGGCAGAAGGAGCCACAAGGAGGCTGGGATTTGGACGCTTCTGCAGGAAGAGCTTCTCTTCCATGAACTTCCTCACCGTCGGTTCGTAGTGCAATGGTCCAATTCTTCATCTCTCTTGAATCAGGTCAGCTAGAATTACTCATCTTTATAGGCCATTGCGTGCCGTCCCGACTCAAGTGCTTTGTTGCCGTAGATTGTGCCCCTCCCTCAATCACTGACCAGGTTATGAAATTGTGCATCCAAATCATAAGGGAGGCTCGGTGGGTCCGGGGAAGTGTTCCTAGCACTAGTACTAAATTAGAAAAGAGTTCAATGCGAGTGGATGCCGATGATGGATTTAATCATTCGCGTACCTGGCATATTGTTTGTCCTTAGTCAAACAACGGGATCACCCATCAGACTAAAGTCTATGTTGATCACAAATTCTGAGTTGACTTGGATGAACGGTCGAGGATGAAATAAATTATCAAGGTCGAAATTGAAGCCAATAAAGAAAATCATATAAAAATGCAGTAAAAAGAAATGAGAATAGCTGGCAACAGATGCACAAACCGAGCCAGTGAGTGAGAATTAATCAAATATTGAGAATGCAACATCATTATTATGTACGTTTGTGCCACGATTAAAAGCAGCGAGGACTCGTGAAAAGGGTATTACGGCGGTGAGAATTAAAAAGTATAAGAAAGGCAATAAGATGAGAATTTACGTGCGCAGAAAGTAGATAGTGGGCTGACAACGATTAAAGTTCTGCGTTGTTCCTGAATCAACTTTCCCCCGCTCCTCGCAGAGGGGTAAGTTTTAAGGGAGGAGGGAGTAATGTATTCTCCGGCCGAATAGAAAAGAAAAAACGGGAACGAGACAGTTTTTGAGTGTGATAATATTTATTTCGTGATAAACCAAATAATGTTGACATGCGAGTGAGTGGCTTTTTGCTTTTGCTTCTACTTCTTTTTCTTTTTTGTTCTCTGACATTTATAGTAGACCCCAAAGGAATTAAATTAAAATTCAATAAAATATATAATGATAATCTGCACTCCCCTGGTAGACATCCGTGTCCCAATTTTCGGTCGCGTTATTCTTAGCCACGATGCGCGGGCAACCCCTCCTAGGTAGGGAAGTAGGTAGTAGGTAGTAGGTAGTAAGTAGGTATCTAGGTATGTACGTAGTATGTATTTAAATATTCATGTTCCTTTGCGTTGGAGGGCTGTGAGTCTGTGACGGCAAGCCTGTGGCAAGCGGCCCAACTGGTGGGATGGATGTGTCTTTTCGCAACGTGGGGTCATCATGGAAATAGAATTTTATTCGACATAGATGCTTAACAGTTGTTGCGCTGGCAATTGCAGCCTTCGAGTTAAGTTTGGTAGTCAGCCATGAGCAATGTACGAAGTAAGCATTTATGGTCGCTCATACCGACTTTCGATATAAACATTGATCGGAGTGCGGTGAGGATTTATGTGGGAATGGATTCGATACAATGCTTGCTTGACTCGTGAATTTTGAATGTAAGATTATGGAGCGAAAAGCACCAACCAGAGGCTTCTTTTTCTTTTTTGTTACCTCGGAACAGTCGCATGGGAGACATCAGAAAATAACAATTATATCTAGCATTTGACCATTTGTACTTGCACTCCCCTTCCTAACAACAAACGTACATACTTAAATGGCCACACTTGAAGACAGACTGACAGACTGACAGACTGACAGACTGACAAAATGTTGAAGATCTAGATGACAAGAAAATCAAGGCTCTGCTGAAAAGATCTCATGATCACTAAAAAACAATTTAAACACCCCTAGCGAGAGGATGCAAGTCAAATAATTACATGCGACACTATATGGAATCAAAAAAGCAAATCCTCCACCCCCCGGACTATTTCGCCCCAAAACATCCAAGCTAGAAACCGAATGGGCAAAAGCATTGAACAGCACAAAACTTGACCCCTCCAAACAAGTTTCTATCTTACCAAGTACATAGTAGCACTATGTACCCTTGGGATGTTGGGAGTTATGCATGCGACAAGTAACAAGCTGAAGTAACAGCTGAAGTTAAATTGGGAAGGGAGTGCACAATTCAGTTGAGGTTGGTTGAAGTTGTACATGGAACTAATTAATATTTCGATTCAATCCGTCCATTCATTCATTCATTCAACGGCCCCCCGAATTAAGCAGCAGTGCTGCTATTATCTGTAAAGAAGAGATTTGGAAATAAATGATACCAAAACCAAAACAGAACCAGAAACAGAAACAAAAACAAAAAGAGAAACCCCAGCAGTAATAATGTTAATAATAATTTCAAAGGGGGGTGGCGGGTTGCTTTAGCTCATCTAGGTATAACTCCCACTTTATCTATCTATGGAGTTCCTCCTTCACTCAAGAAATACATAAAATATATAGTACTTGTGCATACTACTAGATACCGGCACACTTTTCTTACTATCGGTCGGTACTTCTTTCAGGTACTTCTTTCAAGATTCGATGATCTGGTGTTCTAGATAAATCATTTAAACAACAAAGAGTGTTTGTTAAGACTGAATTAGAAAATGAGAGAGAATCAATACAAGCACATAGGAAAATAAGATAGATATATATTTAATAGCAAGTCAGTCTATGAGATTGATTATCCTTCTTCAGCTTGAGACATTGAAGAGTCTACGGGGTATGTCATGACATAAATGATATGGATATCACAGTATACAGTACGGTATGCAGTATGCACCACACAGTATAAACTTTCTAATCTATCTCGAGGAGATAACTTCTCGTATGTATTTAATTATCGAAATTGAGGTTAGATACTTGTATCATAAGTATAATTTTGTTATTGGGGAATAATGTAATATTTATTTTTTTCCCTGAAAATCCACCCACAACTAACTTGGCGGGTTCTCTTTGGACGATCCACACCTTTACCTACTAACCTACTTACCTACTAACCTTACTAACCCTACCAACTTACTAACATACTAGTTAACTAACTTTCCTTTCGTTTCTCACTAAATTCAATCGCTCCCCCTCTCCCCTCTCCCCTCTCCCCTCTCTTTTAACAGCTTTCACCCCTCATTCATTCCATCATCTTTCATCTCACACTCTTGTTTCTTCTTATCAAATTTTTCCCTCAACTACTAGGTACGATTTTGTGATTTTAATAATTCACATTACTTATTAATTCCTCTTTGCCAAAATAAAAAGAAAAAAAAACTGAATCTTTGAATATCTTGATATTTCGTCGACGCGACCCCCATAATATTCTACGCTCATTAAAATCCCCTCGGGCTTCTGTTTATCAACACACAAAACATCCATCTATGACAATCAGACCAAATCAAATGAACAATATTTACAACGAGCATTACACACTTTAAATCTTACGTCCCTTCTCGCGAGTCAGTCGATATTCAACCATCGATCTGTGAATCTATTCCGAAACTTAATCCATTGCGAAGCGTGTAATCCACTCTCCCCTTCCAAAGAAAAGAGATCCTCGAACACGATGCCTGTCGCAGCCTTAAATATTTTGCCCACGGCGGCATCATCAACATCAACAATACGGAAGTCGTCCCTCGCTCCGGAGAAGAAGTACAAATGTCAGTTCTGTAATAGAGCTTTCAGCAGGAGCGAACATCGTAGTAGACATGAAAGATCACGTAAGTTTTTGATGTTCCTTACACCCACCCCTATGAGCTTCTCCTCTTTGGATCGAATCGCGTGGTTGATCCATCGACACCGAATTGCGACAACCATCAAATATTTTTTGATTTTCTATCGCAGCGATTCAACATTATGCTAACATCATTCCCGCAGATACTAAGGAGCGCCCATTCAAGTGCATGAAGTGTAGAAGTACCTTTGTGCGACGCGATTTGTTGCTCCGACATGATCGGACCGTACACGCTAAAGACGGCGGTGTTCCTTTGCATAGCGATGTAAAGCGACGTGCCGGCCCGAAGGCATCTGTTGTATCGGGCTCAGCCAAAGCAGCTATCGCTATTGACACATCGGCCCTTGAACAGATCGAGGCCAGTAGCGATGGATTAGTTGACCTAGAGACCGCCGCTATGTTGATGACCGACCTTCACCACAAAGCTACTGCGGCGATGCGCAATGCAGGCGTAGGCCCATATGAGAATAGACCTGGAATGGCTTTCACTCATAATGGAACTCCGCTCATGGAACCATCCGTCACGTATCCTTCGGGTGCAATTTCGCTTCCACAGGTCCCGTGGGACTCTTTCATGCCGCAGTCTGTGACGGAGCCAAAGTCTCATTCAATTACCTCGGGTGCCTCTGGTTCCCAAGATTCGCATGCGTCTTTCACAAGTGGCAGTTCGATGCAGCCTCATCCTAACCAGCTCCCCCCCATCGTTAAACACAAGGCGTCATCGAGCTACAATGGCCTCGTCCCCGCGTTACAGTCGATGATTGACTCATTGCCACCTTCAGTAACCTCCACTCCGCAACTGTCCCCAATGCAACCCCGTTCCGAAGCAGCAGCAATGAGAGCACCCCAAGTCATGAGTGATGATGAACGCAATATTATCTTGGACAATATCCGTGGCCATGATAGCGAGCGAGCAATCCCAGAGGGCTTCCGTCTTCCCCCCTTGGCGAATTTGAACCGGTTCCTTTCGACCTACTTCAGCTTGTTTCATCATCATCTCCCTTTCCTGCATCCATCAACCTTCAAGCCTACGCAAGTTTCGCCCCCACTGCTGCTTGCGGTTTTATCCATAGGCGCTCTCTATGCCTTTGATCAAGACCACGCATACATGATGCACATTGGTTCCAAGGTTCTCGTGAACCAGTTTTTGCAAAACAAGGAAAATTTCAGCTCGCGCAAGTGTCCTTTGTGGACCATGCAAAGCTCGCTCCTCAACATGATCTTCGCCAGCTGGAGTGGAGACCCTAAAGGGTTGGAATGGGCTTGCTCAATTAAGAGTTTACTTGCTAACATGGTTGCCGGTAACCGTTATGAGCTAAAGCTTCGCACCGATGCTCGAGAAGGCGCTGCGCCTACCCGATCTGAATGGGTAGAAGATGAAGGCTGTCGGCGAACGTACTATGCGGTATACATCTTCTTTGGATTACTGACGCTGACCTACAACCATACTCCTGCCATCAGTTTCAACGAATTTGAGGATCTGCAACTTCCTTCGACCGAAGCGATGTGGAACCTTAATGTTTCTGACGAAGCTACCTGGAGAGAGCACCTTAAAGCTGCTGAAATCCCCTCATTCATGGAAGCGCATGCCAATCTATTCCAGGGTGAATCCTTACGCTACAGTGCCTTTGCAACCCGTGTCATGATTAATGCACTCTTTCTCGAGATTTGGTATCACAAGCGCAGCCCGGAAGCACTCCAAGACATGGTCCTGGAATTCAAACTCCGACTTGCTTTGGAGACATGGGAGAAGTCGCTTGACCTTTGTGAGCCTGAAATCGTCTCAGTCCCACTCAACGCCCCTCATAAAGGACATCCATTGATATTTAATGCCATGGCCCTGTTCCGCAACGCTAAGGCTCGTCTTGAGGTTGATCTCAAGTCGATCCAGGAGGTTTTGAGGTATCACGACTCTTATGAAGTCGCTGCTGCCATGTCAAATGCTAGGGATAAGGTCAAGAGATCCAGCGAGATGATCAAGGTCATTCAAGAGTGCTATAACTGCATCGAGACGGCGGCCATTCAAGGGATTCGTTGGGTTGCGAGGACTTCTGCTACTAACTGGAGTATCGAGCATCCTCTCTGTGGCTTAGATCTCATGGTAATCCTCAGCTTGTGGCTTTATCGCCTGGAAAATGACGAGGAGCCCCCAACTGAGGAGGAAACGACCATGCACAACAAGATCCGAGCTCTCTTTGATGATGATTCTGTTGGCTATAGCTCCAAGCTTAGCTCCACAGTCGCTCGTGTCTGGGGTAGCATGCTTGATGAAGTTGTTGTCTGGGGGTAAGTCGCAACATTCGCCACCAAAATAGGCATTTTGCTAACATGTGTAGAATCACAAAACTTATGGGAGAGTCCTTTCGACTTCATTCTCAAGCCCTCGTGGGCTATGAAGATGACATCGAAGCTTCGGACGTGTCAACACCCTCCATGATCTCTCAGGGGATGGATGACGCCGATGATAGCGTGTACTAAGATTGAGTTTCCTTTAATGATTGCTATGATTTCCTATTTCTTTTCCTTGATAGACTCGGTTTTGATATCCCTCCATCTCTTTTCACCTCACGCTCTTGGTTTTGACGAGGGTCGTCGATTTATCTTTGGCATTTTCTTTTCTCTTCCCTTGCAAATAGCGATTCTACTTTCGTATTCTTTTTCCTCATGAGCATTTCTTTTCAAGGGGTTACGGGCAACAATACGGGGCTGGTCGGGCATACTGGGCTTTTCTTCATTTTCGTCTCATCTCATGCGCCCTGGCGCACCTAATGTCTCTACACTTATACTCATGGCTGGCCCACTGGTGTTGTTTCTGCCCTTGTCCTATTAGCACTACCACTTTATTAATTGTTTTTGTCTCCGGGTCTCAATTTCACCTCAGATACCTTGTTCGATATATATCTGGTTTTTGAGTTAGCTTTTTTTAAACCTTCTTTTCTTCTCTCTCCAGCTCTTTTGGTCATAGGTCTTGCGAAACGTTTATGCGTCGATTGAAGTTTTGATGGATTTTTATTTGCATGCCGGTGAGGCGGAAATTGGAATTGGTTGGTTGGTTGGTACTTGAGAACCTAGGCGGGGCACAGAAAGGTTTAATGTCGCCTGATGGGGATCGGGACAGCACTGATCGTGTATGTACAGATAGTCAGTATCTCAGCATCTTATCAATCAATATTACATGTCTACTCCTACAACTTGTCTTCTGAGCATTGCATACTCAATGTGCAGTGAAACGTGACGTGAACATAATCTACGTGGCGGATGATGAATGCTTCAAGTCGATTGAAAATCTCCCTGGATATAATAGAAGGGCGAATAGAGCGAGCTGCGGCGATGGTGGATTTAATTCACTCCACCTAAGTGTGAGTCCTCGGTCGTTTTGAAGTGGACCAAATAAGTCGCCAATTATTAACGAATATACCTGTAAATAACTGGGGCTCATAGTGCTCTTCAATCATCTCGACTGGGAGTTAGATAATCAAAGATTGGAGGTGCAAGAGAAAAGAAAGAGCACGTGAGGAGGGAGGGGTGAGGTGCAAGGTAATCCCATATTGCGTCTGATTACCTAGCGATAATAAGAATCTTCATCGGATACACGCATATAAATATCTAACCTGGTAGCACCTACCTATTTGCCTGCCTGCCTCCCTACCTAGGTACCTAGAGTACTCATCTAATTAACTGTGAATCAGAGTAAGTACCCAATTTAAGTTGGTTTGGGCTTTGGTAGGTAGAATTTCGTTAGCTACCTACCTACCTGAGTACCTTTCAGTGTTTTAGATTTGCTCTTTCCTTCTTCACCTTAAACACAATAAACCAATTACACCATCTCTCCTTCTCTCTTCTTTCTTTTCTTTCTCTCCTTCTCTCCTTCTCATAGATTTACATAGATTTACAATTTACTCTAC